ATTTGTTTTTTCTTCGCCGCGCGGTGTAGTCCAGTCGTGTCCCCTCAGGGGAGGCTGCTCGCGACCAGGCCGCGGCGGGACGAGGCGGCGGGTAACTGCCGCACGAGGCGGAGAAGCGCGGAGAGGTGGGGCCGGACCGGGCCGGTGGGAGTCAATATGGGCTCGAGAAATTCTGGTCCTAGAGCCGGGCCTGGCTACACCCCGCCCCCTCCCCCACCCTACCTGCCCCCACATCCACGGGCCAGGCCTGGGGCAGGGGCATTGCCCTTCTCTTCTCCGGATCTATTATCGATCTCTTCTGCACGGTCTTTTGCTTTGGCTGGGCCCCATAACCGTTGAGGGGACTTGTATTATGCTTTAGGTGACTTTGCCCGTTCATACCAATGGTCCTCTCTACACCTGACACGTATTACGCAATGACTGGGTTAATTGTGCAATTCTTTTAAATCGTCCATTCACACCAATTAACTTTCATGCCTGAAAAAAGGTCCAACCAGTTACCAAGATACATCTGGAAAATGTGTTGTGACTTCATAGCTGGTTTCTATCTACCTATATATAACTTGCATGTGTAGCAGGGTCTTGAGCATGAAGCAGGTTGGCTCTTCCTTGCAAGCGCTGAAATGTTGTACGCAAATGAAGATGTGACTGGTGCTTCTGAATGAATATGGAGCTGTTGAGGCTCCAGTCATATCTGCAAATAAATGTTTGTGTGTCAGAATTAACCTTGGATTAGGTACGAACAGTGCCAACTAAACAAATGGTTAAGACAGTGGTTCTCAGCTTTTTGAGACTCAAGGCACCCCTTTTTGGACTCGAGGCCAATAATTTATGAATCCAGCTCGCCACTTAAAATCCTAATTTATGTATTACATTGATTACTTCCTTGCAGAGGGCTGGGGCAGCAGCCAGGCAGGGAGGAACCTGGAGCTGCAATTATCTGCTCCCTTCAAAAGCTCTGGTAGGACCCCAGACTGCCCTGACACCCTGATTGAGAAGCATTAATTTAAGCATAGTTCAGTCTTAGTTCTCCTAAAGGCTGTGGGAGTTTTTTGATGCAGTTGGTGCCCTAAAAAGCTGGGTCAGTTATCCCACCCAGAGTTACATACTACCATGGCTAACCTGCTTCCAGTACCAAAGCTAACACAAGGGTCTTGTTGCTGTGCTTTTTGTAGTGTAGACATATTCAGGCAGCATTAGTTTTCACTCCAGAATTGGTCCTTATTGAAGTAAACAAATGGTTCTTGTATTCTCTAAAACACATTTTTATTAGTTCTGGCATGCTTTCTTGCTGACCAAATATTTAAATTAAGATAGAATTGATTGCAAGTTGTACTGAAAAGCCCAGTTGCATCACTTAAGTTTTTGCTCAAATAACGTTTGTTTCTTTGTTGACCAGCTGAATAGGTGAAGTTGCTAAAATGCCAGCTAGGCCTGACGTACAGGTATGTACAAATAAAATGGGAAAATCTGTGTTTATAATAAGTTTTAAATTAATTTTACTAGCCCTTCTGGCTTCTACTTATGAATGGAATGGAAATTCAAATATGTAACTTTAATTAACTGTCCCAAATATTTTTAAGTAATTAATTTTGGTATAGCTTAATTAGTAGTTAAGGATTGAGTACCTGCAGTCATGTTATTGATGCACAAAAATATAAGATTATTGGTTCATAAGTTCTAATTCATTACTAAAAAAAATCTCGCAATATGACAATTTGAGATCAAACAAAGCATGCAAACTAGGCAGTGCAGAAGTTTACATGTTGAAGAATCCTACGCTGGAATATTAATGTTAGCTTTTCAAAATATAAAATCAGCATATCAAAACATACAATAAAACTATCTATGTCGGTGTAAAAAATATTTTTAATGGTTTCCAGGATTTTGTTTTTAGGGTTTTCTTTTTTTGAAATCACTATTTTACATTCATAATTTGTGAGTGTTTTGACATCTTATGATAAGTATCTGTACCTTTGAGGGTGCTTTGCAAACAATAATTATATATTGTCTGGCTTCAGAGTCTCAGGATTACATTGAATAATTATCTGATCCTGCAAACATGGTCAAGTTAGTAGCCCCACACCCTTCCCAAATGCCCTTCTGATCCTCTTCCTCTGCCTGAACTCTGCTCTGCTCTCTGCTTCCAATCCTGTGCTCCCTGCCCAATCTGCTGCTTTGCTTTCTGCTCCCTGCCTTGTCTGATGCTGTGCTGTGCAGAATCTTCATCGAGACTGGCTGGGACCTGTGCAGGTAGGGCATGCAGTGGGGTGGATGGGAGGGGTCTGCAGGTGGATGGGGCCAAGGCTGGGGATTGGGATCGCAGGGCAGTGACAGCGTTGGGCTGGACTCAGGCAGAGCCACAATGCGCTGCCCACGCACCCTTGCGACAGGCACTGGTTGTGCAGGCAGGGATGTGCAGAGAACAGATTATGGCTGTGTATTGGGTCCCAGCCCTGCTCTGTCACCATCCCGTGATCCCAATCCTCAGCTCCACCTACCTGTCCTGCTCCCGGACGTGGCTCCCTGTCCTTCCGCAGCCCCATCCCATCTGCTGGGCCACACGACCTGGCTGCACAAGTCTTGGTCAGTCACTATGGAGACCCTGGGATTGCTGAGCAGTGACAATACAGGGCTGGTGCCTGTGGAGAAGCTGTGATCTGCTCCCTGCTTGCCCCTGCCCACAGAACGTGCCTGTTGCAGTGGCATGTGGGGAGTGGATTGAGGCTCTGCCCCATACTATCGCCACCCTGCAATCCTGATCCCAGACCTGGCCCTGCCTGCCCACCCACCCATCCCATTCCTAGATGCCGTACCCCACCCACCCACAGCCCCATTCCAGCTGCCTGGCTGGGACTGCTTAGGGAGTTTTGGTTGCAGGGTGGAGGGAAGGGGGAAGTTGACCCAGCAGGGGGGAGTGGCAATGCTGACCTGGCCTGTGACAGCTTACTAAAACTCCCTAAGTGGCCTTCTAGCCAAAATTATTGCCCGCCCCAGCCTAGAGACTATTAATCATGAGTTCAATTCAATAATGGCAAGGCAGAGTACAGTCCCAACCAGATAGATTTCTGCTTGGTGCATCAACAGCTGATGGTAATCATACATGAAACTGATTGGTAGAAAGAAATTACACAGAAAACTGAGTAGTATTTGGGACTTCTTTCAGAGGCATTTATAAGGTTAAAAATCCATGACTCCAAAACCAAGGGTAGTTCTGTCTAAAAGCCTCATGACCCATTGGTAAAGTGAAGGTGTCAGTTAGAAATTTAAAAAAAAAGTATCTAACAAGGAAAAAAGACAAGTTGAATAACAATCAACATGAGTAAGAAGAAGAAATGATTTTGCAGTTCAAAGAGTTCAATCTGTGTAGTTTAACAGAAAGATACTGAGAAATGGCTTAATTACAGTTTATAGGTTCTTGCCTGGATACTGTAGGCTTTTTAATTCAATTTAGAAGAGAAAAACATAGTTTCATAGTTTCTAGGGTCAGAAGGGACCTGAGAAGATCATCTAGTCTGACCCCCTGCCATGGTAGGAAAGAGTA